AACTATAATTAGGCTATTTCAATCAAGACATGTTAAGTTTTAAAACTAGCATGTTTTAAATTTATTTTCTTAACACTCATATAGTCCAAAAGAGGAGCTCATACTGATTTCAACAGTATATAGTTTGTCAAGGTTTGTATCAAAGGCCAGTAAGCTATAAGCCGATTTAAAGGCCCAACCTCAAAGTATCCTGGGAAATATAGCGGGCATGTTTATAGTTCAAGTCTGATTTTCCGTTCAGTTCTTCGCCGATCCCCAAATCATTTTAAAGCTTCTTCTGACCCATGTAGTTTAAAAGAGAAGTTCATGCTGAATCCAACCGTATAAAGTTTAACAGGGTTTGCATCAAAACGGTCAAACTAGAAGCTAATTTAAAGTCCTGACCGCTAAGCATGATGGGTAAATGAAGCGGACATTTTTGTAGTCCAAATCTGATTGTGTAGTTCCAGCCCTCGGCAGAAGCTCAGAAGTGAAATTAAAAACTGTATCAAGCTTCATATCAGGAAATGGAGTTTGCAAACAAACAATTAAAAGAGCTTGGTGAAAAAGCGGAGTTTTAAAGACAGCAGTCAGCCTTCAGAGGAGCACTCAAGTAATTGCAGTGCATTCTGGGTAACACTCGCGGACATCTTTGTAGTTCTGATCTTATTGAAGTGAGAATAAAGACTGAATCAGGCTTCATGTCAGAAACACCGAGTTAGAAAATAAAGAAATTAAAAAGGAAATAAAAGAATGTGATGAAAAAAGGACTCCACAATCAAAATTCCAATCTTCAGAATAGGAAACAAGCAATCGTCCTGCATCCTGTGGAAGCTCAGAGTGGAGACCTAAAGCTGAGCAGGGTGTGCGCATTTTATCTCGGGGTAGGCATGTTTGTGTTTGGTGATGTCTTTAATGTATTTATCTCCTTTAGCTCCACAGACAATGCTCTGATGCCCAAAAGGTGGAGGCGAAGCTGTGAGGGATACACAGACTTGGGCACTTTTCTCAAGTCTTTTAGGATAACCCTGAATGATGCGCCGCCTCCTAAAAAGAAAGTGGAGGCCAGATTCCCAGGCGCCTCTTTGACAAGTTGCAGTCGATTCAGTTTAAGACGAGGCGGGACCACCTGATTGAGTTTCTTTTTTTTCCTCCTCTTACTGACCCTACCATACCAGGTTCTGATGCAGGGCACATTATATTCAGCTCTAACCGCATGCATGGGTAGTTTCTGTCTCCTGGCCAAACGGAGCCAGTAGAAGCCCATATTGGCCAAGGTGGAGAGCTTCATTGCAAAGTCCAACTGAACTGGGAACTCTAACACTGCAGAGGAGGTCCTGGAGATCTGCACAGCGCTATCCACCGCACCCCAAAAGCCAGCCAGGACTTTATGTGCCACATCCAGGACCAGAAGTGAACAGGACTTGTCATTTCGGAGAGCTAGAAGACTGTCAGCAGGAGAGGTGGGTGGATATCAAGTGCCGGTTCCTGGATCTTCTTTTGGAAAATGACACTTCTGTAATTAAAATAATAATAAATTCATAAATAATATTTTTATTTCTTCCACATGACTCTTTGTGACCAGGACTTTCATCAAGGGGTCCATCG